TCCGAAAATAAGGGACCCTAATGCAGCACCCTAAAATTTGTATAAGGACCCCAAAATAAGCATACCCCGCGGGGGGTGGGTTGGGGGTTGGGGTTGAACATTGTTCGGGTCTGCAACCCGACCTCATAGAGTTGGGGTTCACCCGAACCCCAACCCGGAGCCTGGGTTGGGTTGGAGTGAACACGAACCCTCGCGCAGGGTTCGTAGGTTAGGGTTGGGGTGAACCCAAACCCAACCCAACCCCGGGTCCGCGGGTTGGGGTTGGGGGCTAACCTAAGACAATTGCCGGTTCACTCCAACGAAACGAATAAAAGTCTTCTCCAACACGAGAAAGCCACACGAAAACGCTTCTTCAAGGGGTCAAACTCAAAAAAACAAAATCTAATCTCCAACATACAAAACAGTTGGGGGTTTACTCCAACCCCTGCTTTCTTAACCGGCCAAAAAATTTAAAAAATGTTTTCTCCAATGCAAAAGAAGAAGAAAAAGCTCACTCACCCACTTACTCACTCTCTCACTCGCTCTCTCTTTCACTCACTCTTTCACTCGCTCTCTCTTTCACTCACTCTTTCACTCTTTCACTCATTTTCACTTTCACTCTCACTCTCTCACTCACTCCCACTCACTGCTTTTTCGCTCAACTGACTCACTCACTTTTGCACCGACTCACGCTTTCACTTGTTTCACTCACTGTTTTCACACTCACACGGCCTTGAATACAATTTCGTTACCTGCTGCTGAACCAAAACACGCACACAAACAATGTAGAGAATTACAGGTTTTTGAAACCTTCAAAGAATAGAGAAAATGTGTTGTAGTGTTGGATTTAGCGGTCTTGTGCGGATGGAAAAGCTCCAGTTCCGGACCTTGTTTTTGTTTTGACAGATTTGATGGGCTCATATTAAAGGCGGCGGCTGAGAACCCAAAATACGTGCACTTTTTTCATAGTTTCTGGTCAAAAGTGGCACATTCTGCGGTTAGAAAACATGAAAAAGACACAGTTCGGGTTTCTACTCGTCTGTTCGCTCCATCCAGGTTCGTTTAAGTTATTCAGGTTGATGCCCTGCCCACAGACATGAATGCACTCGAAATTTTCTCGCAAGGGAATGATGCTGCTGCTCAACGTTCTATGCAATCAAGGGATGACTCAAAGCCTATCGGCAATGTCAAGTGCACGAAAGCCTGGCAGTACAAACCACGAAGGGTTATGCCACCTTTGTTGTTACCCCCAGGGAGGGCGGATGAGAAAAATGATTGCTTTAACTTCCAGAGTCCTTGCTCACGATATATAGTTAAGGGGGCACTTAT